TGATCGACTTATAAAAAAAGGTTGGTATAATCTGGAAATTAATTACATTCTACTAATATTATGCATGGACAGTTCGTTATTCAATAAATAAATTTAATTCTCTGGATATGACAAATCCCAATTTCGAGTCACCAATATTTCTAAAAGAACACTTAGCTACTCACTGATGAATAGGTCATCCCTATTAAGATGTGGTTCAATCACAAATGTAGAAAAAAAATTGTAATTTCAAAATCTAGAAAATGACAAATAAGGACAATAACTTTTTTTTTTTTTTTAAATTTATTGCAATTTCCATATTTAACATTTGTGATTGGAGCACATTAGCTGCCTACTCACCTATAAGTAGACAAGTCTTGTGTCTTCCCCCTATATCTTCTGCCGCTTCATTTTACTGTTCAAAGTAAGGCCATTTCTCTTATTTGTTTGTAGCAGCAACCAAATAATAAGAAACTATGGAGAGAACTTCACTCAAGATGGCTTTCTTCTTAATCGTCCTGGTTCTTGCTACCGGTCAGAATCCCCCCCCTCCCCTTCCTCTCTCTCTCTCTCACACACACACACACAAGAATCATAGTATTTTTCGTCCTCATTCTCAAATTTCGATTAACTTTTAATTTGTGCAAGTTTCTCTATATTATATAGCATAATATTGTTAAGGACTAATTTAATGAAAGCCGTTTAATTACAACACTTCGTAATATATTAACACACTCTTATGAGTCCGTTTCTTCAATTCAAAGGCCTGTATATAGAATTATTTTTAAAATTTTTGTACATATATATGAAAATTTTCATATACTGTGACTCTGAAATTGAGATCGTGGCTCCGTCCCTCCACTTGACTGATGAAATGGAGTTTTTTTTGCAGGAGTTGAAGGAGCAAATAGGCCTACTACCGAAGATGCGCATATCGAAGGGGGAGAGACCTGCTCTACCGATGATGATTGCAACCATTGCGCTTTTCGTTGCAAAGGAATTTGTGTTTTGGGGGTTTGCCTTTGCAGGTGTAGTGAGAACTTGGTCCATGACCATGCTACTTAAAACTATATTGGACCGTTACAGGAATTAATAATCTATTTCCTATTATCTTATTAAAAAATAAACTTTGTTGCCCATGAAGTGAGGAGAAGAACCCTTTCTTGTTATCAAGGAACAGAGCTTGCCTTTTTGATTTGTTTAGCAAAGATTGTAATTTTGTTCTGGTTGATTAATATTAATATTTGATTTCGGTGAAAAACCTTATGTTAAACAATGTAGAACCATTAGAAAATTAATTGAATGCATTGTCACATACAACACCCTACAATATATATATATATATATATATATATATATATATATATATATATATATTGTTGCGGTGTAACGGACTCAAACAGAATCATTGTAAATTGGTCGATACAGGTCGTCGCGTATCAGACTCAAACAAGAGTCACGTATTGGATGATACGTCGAGTATCGGACGATATGGCGGGTCTTAGACTATTTTTTTCTTCAATAAATAAAGTTTGTATGAAAGGAGAAAAAAATTATTGTACAGGTTTCGTGATCAGCTGCCGAAGTTATTTCAATTCTAAGAGCTCTGATCAAACCGGTAATTTTAGGTGGAGCAAACCATGTCGATATGTATATATTTTGACTCTGGGACTAACATACCTTATGAGGACCGTCCTTTTAATTCAAGAATGATTAATGTATATAATTTGTATCTAAATAAAATTTGTTTAGTTCAAAAGACACCATAGAGAATACTTCAATTTTATGTTTGTGTATATAAATCTCTTTGCCTTGTCTCAAGACTGACTTGGTGTAAAACCATTCAAAATAACAAGTGGTGAAGAGGAAATGAACTAACCATCATGTCTTGCTTCAAAAGTTTACTTCTAATCACCAACCACAGCATAGAATGCCAAGCAACCTTCTCCAAGTCATGGAATGCAGCCCTAAACCACAGTATAGATCTTAAAGTGTTTCAAGATGGTTTAATGGAAAAATGTTTAATAGTGTTTCTCCAAGTCATTGAGTTACGGCGATAAATTATGTTCATATGTTTTTCTCTACTTTGTTCTTTCTCTTCCAACATAAACTTGCCCTAAGGCGATTGTATGAAGAATGAACACGAACAAACCCTCCAACCACCTGAAACCTCCATTCCACCCCATCCCAACCTACCGGAATTCACTCTCCCACTCACCCACACCTCTGGCACACTCTCTTGTATTACCTTCTCACAAATTTCTCAAACGTAAACCCCCATATATCCCTTGAAGACTCATGATGTTTCAACCAAGTATGGATCCAAGAGCACTCAGAATGGCATCTCGCATGTCGCTTCTCAGACCAAGATGGGAACCCCCACACCTGCTCATGCAGAAGCCTCTTCCATGGAACTCAATAAGCTCCAAACTCGATCACCTACCATCTCAGGTTCTACCAAATCTAAGGTTATTAAGGCACTCCAACAGGACAAAATTCTCAACCCTTCAAACATGCCTATTGATGACATGGTTTACCTACCTGAAGGCATTGATGCCTCCACAATAGAAGCCTCAAAATTTGCCCTCATTAAAAAAGTGGCATGACTTAAGGTGCAACTGAAGGCTAAGGAAGAGGAGATCATAATTATCAAAAGTAAGCTTGAGGGTTTTATCATAGTGCAGAAGGCCTCAGCTGGCGGTGATGATGGTTGCTTCTCCAATGCTCCCCCGGTGAATGTTGGTCACGTGCCACCAGATGGTGTTTCCATTAGAGGGAAAGATTCAAATTTGAATTTGAACAATGATATGACTGTTTCTTTCCCTGGTTTTCCAGCTCAACCCACTCCCCTCTCTACTGAGTCTCCTTACAGAATCCAAGAGAATAGACTTCAAGAGAACCAGATGTCTTGTCAACCAACTAGTTCCAAAATCCAATTACATCCTAACCATTCACTTGCCTTACCTGCTGAAGAGAATTCTTTGACTAATCATGACACAAGAAGCTGGGCTTTAGTCGTACAACCACATTCCTCTAATTAGGAACTCCAATTTTTCAAGCCTTCTGAAAAGAATAATGTTCTTCTTGTTGATCCGCCAGTAGAGGTACGACACAGTGGGCTTCATTATTGGGAATCATGCTTAGTTGGAACTTTCAAGAGAATGATGCCTTTTAAGACCATCTCTAATCATGCTCACAAGCTTTGGGACTGTAGAGGTTTAAGAAATATGGTGGCCAACTCTGAAAGTATTTTCTTTTTCAAATTTGACACCCTTGATTGATGCATTTTAGTACGTGCAGGAGAACAATGGTACCTAGCAGGTAAACCCATCTCCCTCAAACTCTGGAATCATAACCCTTCTGCACAATCCATATCTAGGGCAGTTAAATCCTTATCAATTTGGATTAAATGTTTAATGTCCCTTTTGAGCTCTGGTCACCTATGGGTCTCAGTTACCTTGCAAGTGTTGTTGGTAAGCTTACACTTGAAGACCCAACTACCCAAAACATAAGTAGAATTGATTTTGCCAGAGTTTGTGTTAAGATTTATCCGCATTCCCCTCTGCCAAAGTCTTTCCAAGTTACCCTCAAGTGTGGAGATAATGCCACTGTAAGGGTACAATATCCATGGATACCTGTTGTTTGTTCAAATTGTTCATCTTTTGGACATCTAAGTGCTCTCTGTGGAGAGTCCTTCCCAAAACAACCTGACCATGACAAGGATCAAAACCTTTTTGATCCTTTTAACAATCAGGAATGGTAGTTGGTTACAAGGAAAAGAGGTATGAGCTCATGCCACCCAATCCCCAACCCCTTCCAATACAATATTAGCACCACACTAGATGCCTTAGCCTCAATTCCCTAAATTGTTTCATAGGATATGATTCCCACAGTCCCTCTTCAACCTATTGTTGATGCTGAACCTGTCCCACCCTCACCTTCCTCAAAGCCCTTACCTTAAAAAGCAATTGTGCCATACTACAAACCACATCTTACATCTGAGCCACTGTCAACTGAACCTCATCTTGCAGTTCCCTCACAAATGGCAGTAGAATCAAATCTCCAAACTCATATTCCACCTGTTCCATGTCCTAAACCTCCTTAGCCTAATTCACATATCTCACAAAGAAATACCAAAACCAATACTACTACATTAATAACCAAACCTCAAATTGAAATGAAAAAAGCCATCAACCTTGTTGTTGACCTATCTCATCACAGCCCTGAACCTCATTGTGTTGTCAATCCCTTTCCAAACATTTTGGTCACAAACTCTTTTGCAGCACTTGGTAATGATACAACAAATATGGACCATTGTTGTTTAGAGGACACTGTTTCCTCTTCTGGTGATGCTTCTCCAAAGAGCAATAAAGACCTTGAGCTCATCCCTATCATGGATAAATTGCTAAAGCCTAGAAAACCAATCCATAGCAAGCATTCTAAAATGGCAAGGAGGCCAAGGATTACTAAACCAGTGGTCAGCAGTGTCTTATTGAAGGGGTGAAGGGGTTTAGGTGTTTTTGCAGCCTCTCATCTTCTTCTAAATGAATTGGGCAGCCTGGAATATAAAAAGGTTTAACTCTACCCTCAAACAAATAGAGGTTAGGTGTCTTATTAGACACTCAAAGCTAAGTCTCATTGCAATACTAGAAACCAAGGTATGTTGTGGGAATATGCAAGCTATTCACAGATTCATTGCCCCACAATGGCAAATTAGATGTAATTATCTTTCATCAGTTTTGGGAAGGGTTTGGGTGTTATGGAATCGACTGAAAATCTCAATGATCTCGGCAGTGGAACACAGTCAAGTAATTAATTATGAAATTGAGTTGATTGACATAAGGAAAAGGGTTTTAGCGGTATTTGTTTATGCTGCAAACACAACTGCTGAAAGCAAGGCTCTCTAGAGGGCACTTAATTCTCACTGCTTGTCAAATGAGCCCTGGATTCTAATGGGGAATTTTAATGTCTTACTTCATATGAATGATTCTTATAGGGGAGCTCTTAGATAGACATTAGGTATGCTGGATTTTAAGGCCTACTTGGATAGGAATGGACTTGAAGATATGAGATTTATTGGGGTTTTTCACACTTGGTCTAATGGTAGTTTTGGTTGTGCAAACATCTCTAGAAAGCTAGATAGAGTTCTAGTTAAATTCTCTTGGATTTCTCTCTTCCCACAGGCTGAATACAAATTTTTGCCACATGGTATCTCTGATCACTCTCTAATGGTGATTAGATTTGGTGACCTTATCCCTAAAAAGAACATACCTTTAGGGTTCTTTAACTTTTGGACCCTTGACCCGTCCTTTTTACACCTTGTTTCAACTGAGTGGCAAAAGGAAATTCATGGTACCAAGATGTTTGTCCTTGTACAAAAACTAAGAGTAATGAAAATTCCACTCAAACAATTGAACAAAGCCTCTTATAGTAACATATCAGCAAGAGTTACAGCCTACAGGGATGAACTCTATCTCTGCCAAAAAAACCTTAACCTCAGCCCAGCTGATGACTCTCTTAGATTGACTGAGAATGAGCTTTCAACTAAGTTCACTGAGCTTTCCCTTGCTGAGGAATTGTTTTACAAATAAAAAGCTCATGTCCACTGGCTTAAGGAAAGGGATCAGAATACAACTTTCTTTATGAGGAGCTTTGGTTCTAATGTAAACAGAAGGAAAGTCAAATCCATCTTTAACTCAAGTGGTACATTGTTACATGGTGATGACATGAAAAATGAATTTCTCAACCACTTCACTTCCATTTTGGGGCAAGGTTACTCTTAATATCAAGGTATGGAATCCTTCTCACAATTTATCTCTAAAACTATACCAAATCATTGTTTACCCTTCCCCACCTCAATACCCTCAACAATAGAAATCTAAAACTGCATTATTTTATTTCACCCATTCAAGAGCCCTGGTCTTGATGGTTACAATTCATTATTCTTCAGATATACCTAGCATATTATAGGACATGATGTTATAGCAGCTGTTAAAGACTTTCTTTATCACTGGCAAGATGCTTAAAGAAATCAACTCTTCCTACATTGCCCTTGTACCAAAAATTCTAAACCCCTCAACTATTAATGACTTCAGGCCAATTTCTTGTTGCAACTTGATTTACAAACAATCTCTAAACTATTAGCTCTGAAACTTGCTCCCACACTTCCCTTGCTGATTAGTCAAAACTAGAATGCATTGGTACAAGGTAGATATCTCTGAGAACATTATTCTTGCCCATGAATTGTTAAATGGTTACAACAAGGCTAACCATCTGCCAAACTGTGCCTTAAAAATTGATTTTATGAAGGCTTTTGACTTAATCCATTGGCAGTTTATACTTGATTCACTTTACCTCTTTGGTTTCCCACAGATTTTTGTGCACTGGATCTCCTAATGTATTACTATTCCTTTTTATTCAATTTCTTTCAATGGAGAACTTTTTGGATTTTTCAAAAAGAAGAGGGGTATTAGACAAGGTGACCCCATTTCTCCTATGCTCTTTGTTCTTGCTATGGAAGTCCTCACACTCAGTTAACAGCCAAATCAGAATGAACCCCTATTACAAATTCCATTGGAGATGCAAAAAGCTTAATATTTCCCATCTCACATAAGCAGATGATTTATTGACGTTTTCGTATGCTAGCACTGCTTCTGTCTAAATTTTAGTTAATGCCTTAACATTGTTTTATTCCTTCTCTGGGCTGCAACTAAACCCTTCAAAGTGTAAAGCCTTCTTCTCAAGAGTAGACAGTCAAACCAAGTCTTCTATTCTTGTTATTCTATAATTTGACTCAGGAACACTTCTTGTCACTTACTTGGGACTGCCTCTTTCTTTATCTGCCATTAAGGCTAGAGACTGTCATTATAAGAAAAATGACTTTTTACCATGGCAGAAAAGGCTTTCTACCATGGTGAAAAACCGTGGTAGAAAGTCTATTTTCAACCACAGTTCTGCACCGTGGTAAAAATTCATTCTTTCTACCACGGTTTTGCACCGTGGTAGAAAGTCATTCTTTTTACCACAGTGCAAAATCGTGGTAGAAAGTCAATTTTCTACCACGGTTCAAAATCGTGGTAGAAAGTGTTATATAATTTTTTTTTTTTTAAATAGTGCAGCCCCTATGAGGCCTTTTTTTTCCCTTTTTTTTCCCTACTACTAGCCTTGCAAGGACACTAAATAAATTAAAAATAGCATCATGACCAAAATAACTTACAACTAACTAATAACATCATATATATATATAAAACCAATTCTAAATCATTGTTTTATACAAAAATTAACCATATACAAATTTCTAGCTTCTTATGCTGTAACGACCCACTCCACCACATGGTATGATATTGTCCGCTTTGGGCCTGAGCCCGCACGGTTTTGCTCTTGGGCTTCACCCCAAAAGGCCTCATACCAATTGGAGGTGACACACTTACATATAAGTACTTCACCTTTCCTCTACCCAAGCGATGTGGGACTGTGCACCCGTAACTCGCCAGTGTGGTAGCCTGACAGTGTCTCTCGCACCCGCCCACAGGGTCATCACAATCCACCCCCCTTGGAGGCCCGACGTCCCCGTCGGCACACTTCCTGCTGGGTCAGGCTCTGATACCATTTGTAACGACCCACTCCACCACATGGTATGATATTGTCCGCTTTGGGCCTGAGCCCGCACGGTTTTGCTCTTGGGCTTCACCCCAAAAGGCCTCATACCAATTGGAGGTGACACACTTACATATAAGTACTTCACCTTTCCTCTACCCAGGCGATGTGGGACTGTGCACCCGTAGCTCGCCAGTGTGGTAGCCTGACAGTGTCTCTCGCACCCGCCCACGGCACACCCGCCCACAGGGTCATCACATATGCCATACCAAAATAAAACAAAAATTCTTATATTTTCTTGCTCTGTTTTAGTCTCTCTCTTCTATTACATATATACAACTTCTTCATAAGCCATACAAAAAATATAACGGCCACAAAAAAAAAGTAACTGCAACCGCAATCCTAGCTTTGACCTACAAAGATATAATAGTTGAAGTAAGAGAATATAAAACAAGTTGTAAAGTTGGCAAAATTAAACCAAGCAAAGCAAGCATTATAATAAAGGTACATTGAAAGATCTACTCTTCCTATTAACTCAATATATTGGGTGATTGACATCCCGTCACCAAAAGAAATCATTTGAGTAGTAACGTGCAACAAAAGTAATTTGAGAAAAATAAAAGTAGGTGTGAAATAATAATATTTGTAAAGCATAAAATGTTGGAATGGAATTGTGTAAGATTAGGACAAACTGAACTGAAATCATAGGCCTACAACAGTTCCAAAAGTATGCATACTTTGTTCCTTTCAAACACACTAGAACTGTTGAGCCTGAAAACTTTTATGCTAGGACAACCTCCTCCAATAACAAAAAGATCAATGTGAGATAAATCAAATTATTGCCATTGAAGGGTTTTCATCAAATTTTCTATAATTTGCTCTATCATTTCAAAAAATTAAACTTGGAAGGAAATGTAGAATTGTGACAAAAAATAAAAATAGAAGAAGGAGAAGAGCTAAATTCTTCATAGTTCATGGGGAAGAAGAGATACGTGATATTTGACATCATATTTAACTGGGTCTTTGAGGAAGTATTTGAACTGCAATTGTAGATTCAGTGATTGTTAGAATGAGCAGGTCGCATAAGTATGTTCGCAAAAATCATTTTCTGAGGAGGTGACAACGAAGAATCGTGATTAGAAGCACAAAAGATAAATCTGTAATTTCTTAGTATTACTTATAAAAATTATCAACCACGACAAAAACAAAAGAACATTGGACGGGCAGAAATTTAAACTACTTTTGCAACTAGGGTTTTGTTTAAATTAAGACTACTCAAACTGTAATTCCTCTTCTACAAAACTAAATGAACTCACTAGCTCTGTCAATCTTTGCAATTACCTGAAATTCAAAGGTAAATGGTGATTTGCAACTCACGTTTTTACAGTTTTTCTGATTTTCCCTTGTCATTGCACCAAGTGTGAGAAAGCAGGTTTCAGTCCAAGAGCAGTTCACTTTGTCAAATCATGCCAAAGGTTAGGTTTGCAATTTTCCCCACCCAACACCCCACATAGGTGGGATATACACTAGATAATTCACTTTTATTTTCTGGTAGTTCCAATTTTTTTATTTTTTATTTTTTTTTTACCATGTTTGGAATTCACTACTTAGAGAAATGCAAGAGGCTACAACCTGCCCAATCAGAGTAGAATAAGAAACACTATCACCTGGAACATTATAAATGAACTACGCTAATCACACAATCAGTAGATATATATTGAAGAAACGGCTTTTTGGTTATCATCTCTGGCATTGAAGTCCATGTCAACACATTCACATATATAGGCATATAGAAAATATCTCAACACAAAGAATAGTTACTACTCAGAGCATTTATGCAGGAACGACTTCAATTCTCTGTTCAACAAAAACAATGTGTACAGGGAATGTTTTCCAGCCTACAGAACTGTTGAGTACTGAGATCAAATTTGAGATTATAGAAATGGGTTTTTAAAATAACTGTCCCGGATGACGTATTTTATCAATATAATTATTTGGCACACTAATCGTAAGCAATAACAGCATGTTCTTTACCTGGAAAAAGACTTGTGGAATGATTAAACCAAGAAGAGCTAAGGCGTAATATGGTTTACCAGCTCCTAGAAGGTAACCTGCAACCATGAAAGAATACTGCAATGAGCACCTCCATGAGCAATAATAAAAATAATTAGCTACCCGAAAAATGTAACTTGATGTATTCAACATCTTACAACAAGAAAATATGATTTATTACTTAAAATTAAATACTTCAAACAATCATGTTTCGCAGCCATAAATTCAAAGCGAATAAAACATTCATGCTCTTCATGAGATCTTATCCCAATTCATTTTCAATATACATTAACATTGCGCATTGATGTAAAAGATTGATGAGTTTTTATCTAACTAGTACAAAGTATAAACAAGAGTAAAGAGCACATTGTGTGTTTAGACATTTATTATCATAAAATGATTCAACATACGAGTACTAAATAGATACAGTTTCAGGAACAATATATCATATGCCTAATTTCAAATCCTTGTGACCCCTCAACAAAGCATTAGAAGGTTATGTGTAGTTAGATTCAACAAAAAAGCTCAATCAATTAATCAAATTTAGACCAAAATAGCTTGATCGAAAGCTTGATTGATTGAAGCAAATCCAGAACATGTCGATTGATTTGTCGATCAATCGATCAAAAGGACAGCCAAAGTTGGTAAAATATGTGTTTCCAAGGCTAAAAAGGATTCTAGACTTTCCAAATATTCCTAATCAATTTTTAATCTCTACAACACTATAGAAAGGTGTCGTAGGAGGTCTGTCTTAATCAATCTTTTGACTCGCCTGGAATGTGAGAAAAAGTCTAAATATAAGAAAAACATAAGAGATTCAACTACATAATTGTGAAAGAGACTGGGAGGCCTTATTTTTCAATCACAATGAGGTTCTTCATAAATACCCTATTATATTGTGCGATTCAGTCCTAAGCAAGGAGCTTCATTCAATACTTGAAGATTGATAAACTATAACACCTGCGCATCAAAACATTGAACAACTAGTCATTGGAGACCAAATTATGAGTTGGCGAAGCGGATCTGTTGTCGGGGTAGACAGTCCAGAGACTCGAATGAAAATTTTGGCGTCACCCAAGATGATTGGGGTTTTTTCTAGAGTTTGGGTAACTGGTAATCTAGTTGTAATTTTTTTTTTTCTCATAATCAATTTGATCTGCCTGAACTAGGTCCCATAGCTTTTCCATTGGGGTTTTTCACATAAATCTTTATCTTTAATTTACTTTACTTTATTGTTTTGTGGTCTAGATTGTCTGGTTAGATGATGATTTGAATAAGCATGATTAATTAATTGGTTTAAATTGGTCAAAACTAATATTAAAATATATATATCAAAGTGTGCACAGGCCTTGCACCAACTCTACATCAGAGCCTAGGGTTGCGCTCTTATACTTCTCAATACCAGATGTACCAGGTAGTGCATAAACTAGTTTCTGGGGCTTGTGAGCATGACACAAGTCTAAGCTAGCTTGAAAAGATGGTCAAGCGCCATTGCCATCCTTTCTAAAAGGGCATGAGTGGTCACTAGAATGTAGCACGACAAATCCTGACAACCAGTGCAAAAGGTTGATTTCCATCAAAACACTAAAAGCTCCTTTTAGAAATTGGAAACAACCAGCAAAAGATTAGAAAATGTAACATCTGATGGATCATGGAGCAAATTTTAATTTAGCTATCGGGAAAAATAATAATTTACAAAAAAAAAAACGTTATTTTCCTTGCTCTTTCCAAGCTCCAAATGAATCCCCAGTGACGTTCCAATCTAATTAAAGGAATCATTAATTACCATATTTTTTGTTTGTAGAAGGTCTTCAGTTTAACATAATAGCGGCAACTAGATGTTGTTGAGACATTGCTATCAGATATAAACAATAGTGCCGTACCAGCCACAGAGAGTTGAGTAACGTCAATAGCACCAACACAAATCCATTTAGCAGTCGCAGAGCCAAATGCTACTAGACGTGACTGGTTAAACAGCAATATCATACAAAGGTTACAACAATTTACAGGGAAATTTACAGATGGTAAAAGATTCATATGGTATCCCAAAAAAATTAGTGGAGAAAACCTGAAGTCTGAGTGTTCTATCCCCTTCAACACTTTTAAAGTCATTTACGATGGTGATACCCAGCTTAAATGTGAAAAAATATATATATAAATTAGTCTGGTTCATGTCATGTAAAATGTATGCAAAGATGCATGTTCAAAATGCATACCCCGGCTATGCTGTACAAGAGAGTGAGAACAGTTATGTCAGGCGTAAGAGTCCCAAACAAAGCTTGACCAGCCCACCTATCATTAAAAATTGAAGCAGGACTTTTTACAACAGAGTGAAGAACCATTTCGAACTTCTTGCATTAAATAGCATACTACAGCCAAAAAGAAGTACATTAAACCCATGAGATTTTCTTAGTACCCTCGGATTAATCATCCAATACTTTATTAAACTTGATATCCTTATCAAAGATAGATGAACAATAAGAGATATATAGCTATGGATATATATATATATATATATATGATGCATGATATGCACAAGGAAAGTATGTATACTCACAGGAAAAACTTATTTATACACTAAACAGCGGATCCAAGCTTGGGTTTTCAGATACGGGACAGCTACAGAGAAAATTTAAAGGTTCAGTTAGAGAGAAAATAAGTTCAAGAGAAAAAGGCAGAAGATGGAAGATATATATATATATAACCCACCAAATTAACCACTGTCTCTGTTAGAAGTATGGGGTGAATCCCATTCCATACCTATTTGAGTATCAATTTGATGAATATAACAGGGGATGAAAATACAAACCTCAATTCGTGTCCTTCAAATTTAGGGCTTCGAATGAGAGAGGGAGCTAGGGTTAGGGCTTGGAGAAAGGGGCGAATCCTTGTTCAATCTCGACGCCAAACAGTTGTGCCGCTATCTTCTCTGCTTTAACGCTGCGTTGACCGTCGATTCAACCCTCAATGGCTTCGGTAGAAGGGTTGGGCTTGGAGAGAAAGAGGAATGACGGCTTGGACGGTCTGAGAGAAAGGGGGTGGCCGGCTTTGGAGATATATAGAACTAAAGAAGAAGCTTAGAACTGTCACAAAGGAGCTACCTCACATTCACCCTGCTATCTTTGTCTTTGTTTACTTCTGTATATGTTTCGATCTGTAAGTGTTATGTGAGCAGTTTGTTGACACTAGCGGGAATAAGACCTGCCAAAAATTTTGCGAAAATAATTCACTTTCTACACGGTTATAAAAATAACCGTAGTAAAATCATATACTTTTTACCACAGTTATTTTAAAACCGTGATAAAAGAAGACACTTTCTACCACGGTTATTTTAAAACCGTGGTAGAAAGAACCGCCTAAATTAAATTAAAAATAATTCACTTTCTACCACGGTGGTAAAAGAAAATACTTTCTACTTATTTTAAAACCGTGGTAAAAGAATTTACTTTCTACCACGGTTTTTCATTAACCGTGGTAGAAAAGGTCTTCTACCACGGTTTTAAAATAACCGTGGTAGAAAGTATATTTTTTACCACGGTTATTTTAAACCCATGGTAGAAAGGGTCTTCTACCACGGTTTTTTTAAAACCGTGGTAAAAAAAGCGTGGTAGAAAACTGTTTTTCTTGTAGTGTGTCAAACATTGGTGGGAAGAATTACCAAGAGAATTGGCAACTGGACTTCTAGGTTTCTCTCATATGCTGGGAGAGCTGTCTTGATCAAATCAATGTTTTGTTCTATTCAAGCTTACTGGTCACAGTCTTTTGTCTTACCTAAGAAAGTCTTTGAAGACATTAACAAGATTCTTAGAAGATTTTATTGGATTGGTGTGGAGCTGAAAAAGAGTGGAGCTACAGTTGCTTGGAATGTAGTGTGTAGGCCTAAGATTTTGGGGGGATTAGGCTTTCCTAACCTTGAGCTGTCAAATATGATTGCCAACCTTAAGCATATTTGGAAATTATACTTGAAAAAAGAGAGCTTTGGGTTGCAAGGTCATATGGTTATATCATCAAAGATAAGCGCATCTGGTCTGTTAAACCTTCAGCTCTAAGCTCAGGTTTTTGGAGAAGCCTATTAAAGCTTAGGGAAATGGAAAGACTGATTTTGCATAGGATTGGATGTAGAAAGGATACAAAGTTGTGGATGGATTATTGGCTGCCTAATCGTCCAATTGTTCAGCAATTGGGGTTAAATGACTTGGAAATTCTTCAACTGGACTCCTCAGCCACAATTGATAGCCTAATTTCCAATGGTCATTGGATGACACCCCTATCTCTTCATTACCCCCACTTCTTTCAGTCAGGGCTATCATTTCAAACTTTAAGTAATTTAGAACAGCAGATTCCATTTGCAAAACTTGCAAAAATCATATTTCGTAGTGCTTAGCAAAAACTGAAAGCAACATGTAGATAATGCACAAATGCAGCTACATTAACATATAAACTAAACTTCCTCCTTGAAGTACGTGTTATCAGTTATGTAACAAAACTCTTCCACCTGGGGTGCACAAATCTCCTCATATTTTCTGTCAATATCATTTCATTTGTTACCATCCATGTTTATTCCTTAACAAAAAATTAATAATAAATATATACATATACACACACAGATATACATAAACATATAGAAAAAGAGAGAGAAGTGAGAAAAGATCAAAGAGAAGAGGAAATAAGCATAAGGCATAAAATATTATCTTACGCTGCTATCATCATGCATGCAACACCAAGCAATTGTAACCTCTGCTTATCCACCACATTGCCAGAAAGAAACCTATCTATGTAGTTTATAGTCAAATACAAGGTATCAGGGACCAGCCTGTACTCTTCAAAAACATGCAGTTGGAGATACAAGCAAGCTCACCATTCAAAGTAGAAATGTACATATGGTTAAACACTTAAGAGTTCGATAAAGGGTGATCATATTACTAACCAGGAGTTCGATAATTTAATCAAATCCATCTTACTTGGTAAAAATGTATTATCATACGATGGATCACCCCTAAAAGCATGGAAGTTCAGAGATTTGGAATTCCAAATTAATAATACTACCACACACCATAATTTACCTCCACAAGCCAGTCAATAAGTATAGAACGCATGCTGGCATTGATCTCTTTCTGGACCCTCTCCATGAAGTCCGTGGAAGACCTTTTCCTTGCCTAAATTCACATGAAAAAAAAAAAAAAAACAAAAACAAAACAAAACAAAAAAAAGGAATTTTTTTAAAAAGAAATTAGAATCAAGAGTTTGTAATTAGTCCACAAATATAACAAATTAGTCTGCAAATTTAACAACTCTACAAATTGAGAATAGAAAAACTACTCCTAAATCATGTAAATCTAATTAAGCATGGTCGTGTTTTGATATATCCCAAAAGTGTTTTTCACAAATCAAATCCTAAGGACTGAACACTTCTATACTTTACCCTCCCCAAATCTAACAAAAAGAATTCCAGATTTCCAGCTCATATCTGGCCTAAGATTTCAGGAAATTTTGCTTCAAACCGAGAAGCTATCCCACTGGCCTACATTATTGTAAACCGACAATAAATTCAGTCCATAGCACAATTATGGAGCCATGCAGCTTGAATTCCCACCAGAAATTAGATAAGAATGAAATTCTGATGATGTTGTGATCTTATGCCTTAAAGTAATTGAGTAGTGCTTAGTTGTTTTATAATTAAAATTAATGATTTATAGATATCAAAATATATTTAGGAGTAACCAAAACTAATTGAACCTATGAACTGTTTATAGATCACAATTAGAGTTTCATCTATTACTTTTCTTAGTGCATTACATATAAATTATATAACATATGTCATTAGAATTGGCAAACAGTGATATCAGAGATTTGGTCTATCCACCTATGTCAGCTAGGGTATAAGAGCATAATAACCATTTTTTGGACCATTCATTGGTTGCCCTGTTTTTTTGAATGGCTAAAGTTTATAGGACAGTTCATTGTTAGAAAACCAAATAAATTATGCAACACCATTTTCAACAATGTAGTTAAATTGAGTTGATAGACAATACCAATCTATGAACCACGTCATTTAGACTATATTTGATATGTGATGCACTGAAAGTCGGTTCAATTGTAATTCATGTGCCATTTTTGCCAAGTAGATAATTTTAGTAATAACATTTCTCCATTAAAAACAGAGAACATCAATGAAGATACCCAGTAAAAAATGAGAAATTCAGGAGCTGTATCTTTAAGTAATGCTAAAGAAATGAGCATTGCGTAGAGAAATAAATATTTTTTCTTTTTAAAAAAACAGATGTTGAATCTCAGATGCTCGCAAGTGCTTGTAAATGTCGCAAGCCATAGTTACGCATAATTGAGGGTCCACTAAATTTCCATCAAAATCAACAATCTTATCAGTTGCTTCCATGTCCCCAATGATATCTCTCTTGCAGATGTTTCCTGTGAAATATACAACTAAGACAATTTCAGGTGGTTACTAGAATAAATAACTATAATTCACCGATCATGAAACTTAATGACATTAAAACTGAAAACAATACTTTCCTATTGTATGGCTTGCTATGGTATTGGTGGGTCAAGTATGGATGTAGCAGAATTAATAGAAATTCTCACAACTAAAAAGTTTTTTCTTGGACAGGTAGTGAAAAAGAAATGGCAATTTTGTCCGAATAATTAAGAAAAAACAAAAAGTGATCTCAAAGCAATCAAGCAACATATACTAGTTTCAGATTAAAATTTACTTGAACTAAAAGCATTAAAAATAGATTAACTTGAGCCATATTCTATCGAAGCTCTACAAATACAAACTCATAATTTCATTTATTGAAACAAGTAAAATTAAAATACAAAAAGTTCAGATTTTATACATTATGTGATAACTGAAATAACCTGTTAGTAATGCAAAACCAGTCTTTGTCCATCATCTTTGTCAACCTACTTGAAACCTAGAGAACTGAACATAGAAATCATGTTGTTGAATATAATAATTTTCTAAAAACAGAATAGTAGAGAAGATTCATAGCATGTAAATATAAATTTGTATATATATATATATATATATACATACACATATGAATTTGTATATATAGATTGGGGATGTAATACAAAACCTAATAGAATCCTCACAATTTCAAGTATTTGATGAAAATATGCAAATATATATATATATATACACACACACATATACACACGTTATGCATATTTAAAGACTCTCCTAATTAGAAAATTTTCACAAACACCGATTCTACGTTCAAGTAGAGAAATTAAATTTCTCATAAAAATCGATCAAAAGAAATGGAAGCTAACAAAGTTATATGTGTGTATATATATACATTTTATATATAGATATAGAGAGAACCAAACCGTATACGACATTTGAGAGCTGAGATTCAACTTTTGAAGGTCGAAGAAGTTGAGCTTCGGAGGGAGGGGGCGACTGGCAAGGACGCCATTGCTGCTCGTGTAGAGAGAAACGTAGAGAGATACGAGTGCATAGATCTAGGCTTTGTTGGTCAAATTCTGAGTTTCTGTTCAGCGTGTAAAAAAGGATTGAGAAAATGAGAAGGTTTTTTTCGAAAACTCGAACTCTCAGATCTACATATTCATCAATGATGATTGAAAATCGACACAATATAAACTCAATTTTTAGGGCTTTTCGTGAAGAAGATTGTGGAGTGATTTTAGTTCAGGAGTGTTTTGAAGAAGAAAAAAATTGTGCTATATTAATTTAATTTAAATTAAAAAATTAAACATTACTTAAACACATTAATTAAATGCAATAAATAAAAATATATATATAGAGAGTCCTGATCTCTTGCTCTCCATGGAGTAAGAAAATTAATCCACACTTTCTATATAAACCGTTAGATTAAATCTAATGGTTATTTTTTAAACCCACCTATAGCCTTTCCTTTTAATATAAAACCACTCTCACCCTATTTTTAGTTTCTATATTTAATTTTATCATTACCACCTACTGTAACCATAAAAGGTAATTATCAAAATAAAAATAGAAACCTTTGAAAAAAAACTAATACCGGTTTATTTTACTAAAAAAATTGTTTTTATTTAGATGTTTCTTTCAATTTTGCAACAACAATATGATATTATAGCATTTTCTTAAGAAATATCTTGTTGTTCTCAGTATAAGTAAATTAATAT